CTCTCTCTCTCTCTCTCTCTCTCTCTCTCTCTCTCTCTCTCTCTCTCTCTCTCTCTCTCTCTCTCTCTCTCTCTCTCTCTCTCTGCCCTCTTCCCTGGCTTGCCAGCTCTCCTCTCTTGTTCTTCTTTGAGTTCGTCAAGATGGATTGTTCTATTTACAACCTGGGAAAGGGCCTGAAATACATGCATATTTTGAAGCAGCGGGGATCATCACATTGTCTCACCTCCTGCCACACATCGAACATGCTTTTGGTCATATCTTTCTGCCCTACAACCTGTGAGTCCACATCAGCCTGCAATTCCATTCACAAAGTGCAACAACAACGAGAAGAAGCAGAAGCAGCAGCAGCAGCAGCAGCAGCAGCAGCAGCAGCAGCAGCAGCAGCAGCAGCGGCAGCAGCAGCAGCAGCAGCAGCAGAAGAAGAAGAAGAAGAAGAAGAAGAAGAAGAAGAAGAAGAAGAAGAAGAAGAAGAAGAAGAAGAAGAAGACGAGGAAGAAGACGATGAAAAAGACGACGATGACGACAACAAAAAGCAGAAGAAGACGAAAGAAGAAGACAAAGAAGAAGGACGAAGAAGAAGCAGAAGCAGAAGCAGCAGCAGCAGCAGCAGCAGCAGCAGCAGCAGCAGCAGAAGGAGGAGGAGGAGGAGGAGGAGGAGGAGGAGGAGGAGGAGGTGGTGGTGGTGGTGGTGTTCATCAGCAGCTGGCAGAATACCACATTTCGTTTGGCTTTCCCTCTTCATAATCTTTGAGGTACATTGCCTTTCCCATAGCATTGAACCGCAAAAAGGTTCAGACGAGGAAACAATCCAGATAGGGTTGCAAAAGTGAACAACTGGGAACACAGACATCACATGACATTAAAGAGATGTCAAGTAAGGCATTGCAACAAGATATGGGGCCAATTATGGGCCCTATCCGTGTAAAGGACAACATAGAGTTGGATAAAATTTCTAGAGGATTCACGTAACTTTAGGTGCTGCTTATGGTCAGGGTGTGCAGCATACACAGACGTCTGGAACAACAAACATGTTACAGTGGATATTAATTGAGTCACCATTCATCCAGACCCCCCAGTGAGTAACAGCACTCTGAAAAACAATTTATTAATCCAAGACGAGATTAGCCAGAAACAAAGCACAGGACTGGTACAAGGTTCAGGATTTTGAACGGTGGCAATGATATGAGCTGTGCTATTTGCCTGGTGACACTTGAGTTGACAAAAGATCACCACAGACGTTACGGCTCTCTGAAATGCCTTCTTGCAGTTGTCCCTGAAAAGAGATCTTGGGACATCCCAGTGCGTATCAGACGATTTGAAAGAAAGGAGGAGATGAGCACACACTAACAGCTGGTGTTGCTGCACCAGCAAACAACTGTGATCGACAGACTGACATGATCACTAATTACACCAATACTCACGGATAGTCTTTGACCTACACAGAAGGGGGTAGGTTGACGAGCTCAAATAGTGGGAGCGAAAGACGGTTTCTGGACACTCAAAGTCAACAACAGATCACAACAGAAACGACTGCACTATGAATCTTCGCTTCATGCAGTTGTTCCTTTGGAGAGATCTGGTTGCATCCTATTAACTCTCATGATTGGTACGGATTGGACAAGAGGAGAATACCTTGCCAGCTGCTGTTGCTGGAAAATCAAATACCTGCCATGCACAGGCTGATGTGCTTGTATCACAGCACAGAGCTCAGCAAACTAAGGTCAGTGGAAGGTTAGCAGTGCTTGTAGAAGAGGCGACGAAGGACTTTAGAGATCTAGGCTGGGATATTACCTGGGCTGTAGTACCCTGCGGAAGTGGTGCTCAAAGAGTTACATGCCTATTTGTAGGCCGTTAGTCTATTATCTGGGCAACAGTCCCTGGCAGATAAGTATGGCCACAACATCAACCCACTTTGGCCCCATGTAGCCATGTCTGGCCCTGTTAAGGAACACAAGGGCCTTGCCCTGCCCAGACACAGCCTTCCAGGGCGCTGTTCAGGCACTGGAAACCATTCAAGAATACGAGAGGGACTGTTACGGTCACAGTAGCTAATGTTGGGCAAGGGAGGACCTTGCTGAGGAATTCAGAACGTATTGCAGGGAAAGTGTGTGCTACATTCCTTGAAGTGCGGAGAGGATGAGACAAGGCGGGGCCAAAGATGATTTCAGGGGTGAGGAACGGTAGTACAGAAGCACGTGATGATAATGACAATGATGATGATGATGATGATGATGATGATGATGATGATGATGCGGATGATGCGGATGATGATGAAGATGAGATGCTGCTGCTGCTGCTGATGATGATGATGATGCTGATGCTGATTATGGTAATGGTGCCACTGCTGCTGATGGTGGTGGTGATGGGGTCGCTGCTGCTGCTGCTGCTGGGGATGGTGATGCTGGTGGTAGTGCTGGTCCTGCTGGTGGCACCACCACCAGGTGGGGGCAGTGCTGGCAGGGGTGGCATGGGCTGTGGTGTGGGGGGTGGCATCGAGGGTGATATCAGGTGCTGCTGGGGGGGGTGGCAACCGGCACGACAGGACGGTGTTATCTGTGGAGTGGCAGTGGCAGTGGCTGTGGCGATGGGGTTGGTAGTGAGGAGGAGGATAACAATTGACAAAGAGATGAAAATCCCGGTGGACAATGGCTAAGGAGTTCCACCTGCTCATGCCAAATCTGCAAGCACAGAGCTGGGAATAGTGGCCTCCCAAGTATGGGCCTCCCATAGACACTCAGAGATGGGAATAGTGGCCTCCCAAGTATGACAATACAGAAACATAAGCTGATATCCGTCCAGATACAGGCAAACTCAGTCAGAGAAGGTGAGAGGGAGAAAAGACCTGAAACAGGAAAAAGCTAACTCAATATATATGGGCAAACAGAAGCCAAGTGGGGGGGGAGAAATGGTCTGAAATTCCTGTAAAAAAGACGATTTCGCCTTAAATTGACAAACACGAAGGCAGCTTCCTAGGATGCAGATGCCTAAAAATTCCTGTAAAAAAGACGATTTCGCCTTAAACCACCAGCCCCCCAACATGGATTGCTGCTGTGTGCCAAAAAAAATAGTGAATAGATGTGGGGACAAAATATTTTATTTTGGCTGGCACCCCCAGTCATCTTGTTTCTGTGGGACAAGCCCCTGTCAAAGCGGTGGGTTAACCGCAGAGGAACAAAATAGCTGGGAAAGGGAGTGATGGTCTAAATGTTAGAGCAATAGGAGATGAAAAACAAGAAGAAAAGGCACAGTGGAAAAACAACCCTGACTCCCCTCACATCGGCTGACGGCTAAATGGCCTAACTGCAGACCCCATTTAACCCAGAACAGGGGCAAGGGTATGCTGCTTAACCATTGCGAAGATATACCACCAGAGGGGTGAACCTATGCTCTACGGTCTCTACCCAACAAAAAGGGAAAAGAAAAAAGAATACAAAAACCTGATACCGGAAAGAACAGTCCGAAACCCTTTTGTTCTCAGAAAAGTAAGTGTTGCAATCAGACTCGCTTTCATCTTCGCTTCACAAACATGCAAACAGATGGCGATTCGCACTGGCGCACAGCGCCCACTCAACTCAGTTCAGATGCAAACTTGCTTCCACAGGCTATGGCGCATAAGCGCCTGCACATCCAACCCTCAATACTGTTCCCAACACCACCGTTCACACTCACTTAACTCTGGATCACCCTGAATACCCCACACACATTCCTCTCTGACTCACACACACACTATTGCCTGACTACCTCCTACAGCGACTATGGCCGCTCTACTAACACTAACTATAGCTACGTAGTCTCACTTCAGCCCACTTCGACTTCGGGCAACATGCAGACCACCTCGCACAAGACGCTGTAGCAGCACTTCCGCATGGCTTACGAAGTGAATGAATGAATGCTGGGCGCTGCCTCTTGATTTATACTTCTGTAACTCGTTGGTCTGCCCCTTTCCCATGCCCTTGGTGCACACAGTCCCACACGGTACTTGCTTGACTGGACTATGACTGACTGGGACCGGTACCGCTGACTGCATGGGTTTGCACTGCCAACTTGATGCGGTCACACTGCCGACGTAAAGCAGTTGGGCTCACCACTTGCCCACTTGCCTCTGTCTAAACGTGAGCCAACTTCGAAAGGCCACTTCCGGACCTTCCGGAAGTCTGTGGTCTTGGCCTTTCGAACACTGTAGCAGCTACGACCTTGACCTTTCAGGACTGTAGCAGCTACGACCTTGACCTCTCAGAACACCTACAGCTGCGACCTCTACAAGGCTGTGACCCCTACTCATCAGATCTACAGATCGAACCCCTACAACTACACAGACTTACGATAGACATCAAACGAATACCAAAATACAGGTCACGGGTTCAAACACTCGGGGGTCAACTCGATACTGTACATGGGCAAGGTAAGGTTTGGGGATCGAACTCTAGTGCCCGCATCTGTGACTGCAGAAAGGTGAAAACCGTTTCACTCCCGCCGGCCTAAATTCGAGGTCCTCCGAGCATACTTCAGTCTAAGGCAGGACCTTTACCCTCCGAGAATACTTCAGTCTACAGAGGCAAGACCTTTGTACGTGTAAGCCAGCGGTCGTCTTCTGGGTCCTGAAAGGAAAATCTGACTTTGTACTGTTTTTGCGGACGACCTCTACCTCCTGTCCTGAAGATGTCCTCACCTACTATACCATCAATGTCGTATCTTCCATCCATATCTGGAGGGATCATGTATCTGCCTGATGGAAACTGTTGAATTGTGACGCAAGGCAACAACTTTGACGCATGGAACACTGGGGAGGTGTGGAGGTGTGCTGGAATCTCAACAGTGTAGGACGGTCCATCCTCTCCGCCCTTGACTTCTAGGACTGGCCACAGTCCTCTATACGCAGGCAACAGCTTCTGTGAGATGTTCTCCTCAGGAGCAAACTCTTTTGACTTGACCCAGACTAAGTCGCCTACTTGAAACTGTGAGGGGCGACGATGCTTATTAGCTTGCTCTATCATTCTGTGCTGGGCTTTCCTGAGGTTGTCAACCACGGTAGCTATCTCTTTTTCATGCTGTATCGCAAACTCTCGTGTACCGGGCGGTAGCCTCTGAATCTGATCCCGGTTAAGTCCCTCAAATGGTATGTGCGGTCTAAAGGACTTTAGTTCATTGGGAGTGCGACACGTGGACAAGTGCACACTGTTATTGTATGCGCTGGCTACCTTTGGGAGCATCTCATCCCAGCTGATCTGATCGGGCATAATGTACATCCTAAGAACTTGCTGCAGGAGCTTGTTCATCTGTTTAGTCTGGCCGTTAGTCTTAGGATGGCGGCCAGATGACATTAATAACTTTGAACCATAAACTTTCATCAGTTCCTGCCAGTTCTGGTGAAACTGGTATCCCTGTCACTAACTATCGACAGCGGTATACCATGCTCACTGACCCAATGGTCAAAAAACTTCTGAACTACTAACTCTACGCGTGCCTCAGAGGGCAAAGGAACGAAAATGGCGTACTTGCTAAACCTGTCTACTACGACCATGACTTGACTCTTGCCATGTCTACTTTTGACGCCAATGTCCATGAAATCTATAGACATTGAATCCCCGGGTCCTTCTGGGATCGGCAATGGTCTGAGAAGACCTAGAGGGGCTCACGTAGAAGTCTTGTTCCTTTGACATACTTTGCAACTGCGTACGTATTCTATGCAGTCGGCCTTCATACCAGGCCAGGTATATGCACGCATGAGGTTGGCTAAGGTCTTCTGCCAACCGAAATGTCCCTCTGTACCATGGCATTCCCCTAACTCTTCACAGTTGGGAACGCATAGGCGGTCAACAACATTAGTCTTCTCAAATAACAAGCCGTCTGTGGTGCGGTAATCTGGTTCTGATTCTGGTGCCTCCTTAACTCTCTTGAGGAGGTTGCTATAGATAGGGTCCTGCGCATACGCTTCTTTGACTCTCTATTGCAGGTCTCTCCCTATATCCAGATAGTGCACTATCGCTCCAAAGTAGTCTGATCTCCTACTCAGAGCGTCCACAACTACATTATACTTCCCTTTGACTAGCTTGAGCTCAAAGTCATAATGATATATCTTTGCAGCCCACCTAGTTAGCTTTGGTGTCATCTTGGCCTGCGTTTTCAGCCACCTTAGCGTCTCGTGGTCTGAATACACTTTGAAGTGCTTCCCAAGCAAGTAGTGCTTTCAGTGTTCTAACGCTTGCCTGAGAGCGTAGAGTTCCCTCTCGTAGGTTGATGTCGCTACCTTTTCTGAAGGCATTCTAGCAGACATGAACCCTACGGGTCTGTATCCATTACCATCGTCTTGCTGCAGAACGACACCTATGCCATACTGCCTTGCATTAGCGGTGACGACGAATGGTAATGATGGATCGGATACCTTAAGGACATGGTACTTTATTAAGGCCCGCTTTAACTTCTTCAGGACCGTTGTGCAATCTTTATCCCACTTCCAAATTGCCTCTTTCTTTAGCAACCTACGAAAGGGAGCAGCGATGGTGGAGAAATTCCTGACAAACTTTCTATAATAATTTGCCAACCCTAAGAACGATCGCAACTCTGTCAGCGTGCGGGGAGTCGGCCAATCTTTAATCGCTGCTATATTACTGTCCTCAGGCTTTATGCCATCTCCATCTAGAACGTGGCCCAGGTATAAGTTAACTTCTCTCAGCTTCTCCAAGACCTGCCTTAGATGACCCTCATGCTCCTGGAGGGTCTTACTAAGCACTAGGATGCCATCTAGATATACAACTACAAATCTATCTAACCACGGCCTAAATAGGTCATTCATACAACGCTGAAATGTAGCTGGCGCGTTGGTTAGTCCAAAGGGCATCACTATAAACTCATAGTCCCCATATCTGGTCCTAAACGCCGTCTTGTGCTGATCATCAGGATGGACCTCTACCTGATGATAGCCTGACTTCAAATCTATCTTAGAGAAGTGCCTGCAGCCCTACACTCGATCCAACAAATCATCTATTTGAGGCAACGGTTCTGCATTCTTCACTGTGATGGCGTTGAGACCCCTATAGTCGATGCACATTCTCAACTCTCCCTCCTTTTTGGGGACAAACAAAACAGGTGCTCCAAACGGAGACGAACTGGGCCTAATCCAACCCTTCTCGAGGAGCTCGTCCAATTGCTTTCGCAGCTCCTCTAACTCCCTTGGGGACATTCTATACACCACTCCTTTGGGAGTTCTACTACCAGGTTCTATTTCAATCCGATGTTTGGATCAGCCGCTGCACTACTCATGTAGGCGGCTCAGACAGATTTGCATACTCTTCCAACAACTTGGCAATACGAGGGTCTATGGGCTCTTCGGACTTAGGCTCAGTAACTAGCCTAACATAGGCAACGAAAACCTGTTTTTCTAGCTTCTCCTTCTTCACTAATCTTGCGAATGCAGGAGCGCTAAGGCAACAATGTGCTAAGGGGTTCTCTACCCCTGACACATGAAACAGGCGAGCAGTCTTGACTCCACCTGAAGGACTAGGGAGCCTACACTCATGCTCTCTCAAATGAAGTGTGGCCCTTGCTGCCTCTCCCCAATCCATTCCTAAGACTACATCAAACGGAAGGTTGTCTTCTACGAGGAGAGTCAGGGAATGGAGAACTCTTTCTACCTTCCCATCTTTCTCTAGGCAAAAATAAGCCTGGACTCCCTCGACGTAATCCTCGACTCGCATTGTGTGATTGCCTGCGAGGATGCTGACCATAGGTTCCTCTAA